GGCGGCGGCGTGGCGGACGGTGAGTCAGCATCGCGCTGCAGCTCCAGGTGCGCTGCGGGCAGGTGGGATCGGGAGGACTTCTAGGTGCTGCGCGCCGGACCTGGCTCCAGTGCGGCAAGGTCGTTCGTGCTTTTAGAGGTTGCAGAGCTAGAGGATGCAGCTACTCCCCTTTTAAAAACGTGCGCCTCACGTGCCTCTGTCAGCGCCTGTCTTCCGCCTGCTGCCCTGCTCCCCGAACCCCCCGCGCCCCGGCCTCCCGCGTTCCCAAACTCCCGCCCGCACCCCGCAATCCCGCCTGTCGCCCGGCCTCCAGGCCCGTGCCCGTGGGCAGCTTTCTCCCAGGGGCCTGCAGTTGCTCAGGGGTTGACCCTGATGGCTGTCCCCCGGGATCTCTTGGTGGAGTGGGCCTTGTCCCCTCGTGAGGACTGGGCGTTGGGGAGGTCGCCTGACCAGGGGGGTGAGTTTCTCTCCTCACATTTAGGGATGAAGCTGGGGGACTTGCAATCTGGGGAAGTGGCTATTCCGGACCGGCCTTTAGCCCGTGCGGGTCTGCCGTTTGTCCCCTTTGCCCTGCTCCCGTGTGTCCCGAGCGCAGGGTCGGGACGGCTGTCACTCTGGGAGCAGGCCAGGCCAGGGCCATTACTCAGCAGCTTCGGGCTCCTTTCTCACGACCGCTGGACGGCCCGGTCAGCCGCACAGTGCCACCCACTCGCCTGCTTATGTAATTGCTCACCTAGTTCCGGGGCTTGCGCCCCCCTCCCCCAAAGGTGATCTATCTGGAACGGGGCGTTTTGGAGATTTGGGGCTTGTCTTGGGGGTGGTGAGGTGTGCAGTGAGAGAAGCTCTTCAGATGAGGGGTCCTTACTGGGCACCCTGGGGAGGGGGTGGTGGGGGCTGTCCCTCCCCACCGTGGGAACATCCTGGGGGCTGTCCCAGGGTCCCTTCCAGAGTAAGGCCAGCGCCACCCCTCCCAGGTCCTCCACTTTGAAACGAGGTCCATTGCTGAACATCTCTGCCCAAGGTAACCTCGAGGGGCTGGTACAGCTCCCAAGTGAGTGTCGGGGCTGGGATGGATGTCTTCATATGACTTGAGCTGAAGGGTACTATGGCTGGTAAGGTCAGGGCTTGAGCGAGAGTGAGTCTCTGCCCCAGTTTGGCCCCATCCCCTGGGGGCCCCAGGCTGTGCCAGGAGCAGGTTGGATGGGAGGACGGGTGAGGGCGGAGCGTCTTGGTGCTGAGTCACAGGCAGGAGTCACATCGCTTAGGGTGAGAAGGGAAGAGGTTCCTGGGGCCGGTGTTCCCTTTTCAGTCATCCCTCATACGGTTGTTCAGGAGTTGTTTCTAAAACTCTGCCAAGTGTCGGCTGCTGTGCTCAAGAGCCTCAGACTTGACCTGACTCAGGACTGCCCGGGGCCGAGGGTTCAGTCCAGACAGCCGGACTGTTGTGGGTGGGGACACCCTCTGCTGAGTGGCAGGCAGTTGTATGGTGAGCTCCATTCACACCAGCAGGAGCAGGGCAGAGGCTCTTCCGAGCAGGGCTTTGGAGGCTGAGCAGGAGTAGCCAGGACTGTTCCTAGCGGACGGAGCTAGAAGAAGACTGAGGCTGCTGCAGATGGGGGAGCAGCGATGGCAGGCTAGCCAGGGTCGGTGTCACAGAACACCACTCCCAGGGCGTTGAGGGGCAGCTTGCAAGCAGGGTACGGGCGGATGGGTAAATAGACAGCGGGGAAGCCTCGTGCTTCTGTTCCCGGGCCCTCACGGCAGTGGTTTCTTTACCTGAGCAGTGTTGAAATGGTGTCCTGGGGGTGACAGCAATGCAGGGAACTGCCTGACGCCTGCCGGTACAGCCACAGGGGCCAGCAGAGGCGGAACGTTCTAGAAGCTGGCGCATATGCCCAGGCGGGCAGGTGTGACCCAGGGCTCCAGTGGCACTTGGAGGAGGCGCTGTGCCAGGTGTCCCGTCCCGGGCTAGCATCCTTGGGGGCCAGATGGGAGGAAGAGGGATGGAGGGCCTAGGGGTGTGGGGGTTGTCAGGGACAGATACGTCAGATACCAGGTAGGGCAGGGCTCAGCCACAGAGACCCTACCTGTGCCGAGGGAGGAATCACCCGAGACCCTGTGTGCTCTCCTCTTGGGCCCCACAGCTGTCTCCCCAGGAAGCTGAGCTGGGACTCAGGTCGGGGAGGCAGCCAGGTGCACTGGGCCCCCAGGGCCCCCTGGTCACTCCTTTCCTGAGTCGGCTGCTGATGCTGTGGGGGTTTCAAACTCCAGTCTCAGGGTCTGGGGCTGACCGGCTGCCCTGAAAGGAGCCCCTGGGGTTGCTCCTGCTCCACATTGGGTCCTGGGCTTGGGGAGGGGCCTGCATGGTGGTGGGGGTGAGGGTGGGCGCTGAGCTGGGTGCTGGGGACTCTCAGGAGGGAGCCCGAGGGAGGAGGAGGTGGGACGCAGGTGGGGGGCGCTCCCTGCTGGGCCTGCAGACCGGTGTGGGCTGCCCTGGCCTGCAGGAAAGGGTTGTGGGTTGACTCGGGGGGGTGAGGGGCTCACCAAGCCGAGGCTTCTCCGTTCGTGTAACGGGCAAGCTGGGGTGCAGCACGTCCTCCCAGTACCAAGGTGGGCATAGCCAGCCTCGGGCAACACCACACCCTCTGAGCCGCGGTGGCGCTGAAACTGTGGGCCAGAAGGTTCTAGAAGGTAGCTGCGTGGCCCTGCTCCGTGCCCAGGGCTGGAAAGGAACAGCTGGGGACACAGCGTCCTCAAAGGAACACGTGTGTCCTTCGCTACTCTGGAAGGGGCACCGCGAGTCTGGGGTCTGATGTCGTGGTTCCGGTCAGCCGCCGTGGGGTCTGGGTTTGTGGCTTCAGCATTCAGCACGGCTGTAACCTGAAGACCTGTCTGCGGCCTGTCTAGACCGTGTGCGTTCTCTGGAAAATGTTCTTTTCATAGTCAGGTGTTGTCTCTGGTCAGGTTTAACGAACAGTGAGAAAGGCAAGGTTATTGGAGCATGAGGAGAGCCGGCTGGTGGGCGCCGGGCCGAGACGTGCTCATCACAAGGGTGGAATGAGGCCCACTGACTCGAGGACCTGTCGGTGCTGCCGTGGCGGCCCCACTGGGTGTGTCGGGAAGATGCTTTCCCAGGCACCCAGCAGCCCTGACTCTGGGCCTCCGTGACTGGCTGGAAAACACTGCTTGGGATCTTTTCAGGCGACCACAGTGGCAAGCCCCAAGCTCAAGCCAGGACGACCTCGCCGCTGGTCAGGTGACGCGAGGGTGCTGCATGTTTTGTTTGACAGGTTCGGCTTTAGACGTCCACCTTAGCGACATAAACATTGCATCCCTGGAGAGAGACCTAGAAGACCGAGAGAAGAGTGAACTTGGGCCGACAAGTAAGATGCTGGATGCTCAACGCTTTCTGCTGCCTCTCGTCGCTTTTCCACGAATTGACGTGGGGCATGCCGGCTAGCGGGGGTGGGAGGGTCTGTCTCTGGGCCCTTGCCCCTTTTTCTTGGCCTCACTGGTGCCCGCACTCTCCTGCTACCCTGTTGCCTGTGTGGCCGGCTGGCTTCTGTCCCCTCCTGATCTTAGTGGGAGTCAGAGGACCCATCCAGAGGGCCAGGCCTCAGCCTTCTTCCTCCACAAGAAAAAAACCAAAATCATATTTTCTGGCTGTATGTATGAAGACGAGTATGCTAACGTTTTAAATTAACACGTTTTTTCCAACCTCGAAGTTCATTTCTCCTCTGTGATTTTAAAAGAACTTAAACCACTTTAGGAGTCCCTGAAGGTGCTGAGACCCTGTGCCAAGGCCTGGCCAGCCAAAATCCCGCTGGAAAACGGCTGGTCTGTGGGGGGGGAGGTGGGTGCGTGCCGGGGCCCCAGCCCACCTCTCCCTGATGTGCCGCCCTCCACCCCCCGCTGCAGGTCAGAGGCTGCTGGGGGGCTCGGCGCCGGTCGCTATCCCAGGCCCCTTGACACGCTCGCCGTCCCTGCACTCGTCCTCGTCCTTGTCCACCTCCCCGCTCAGCTCGCTCTCCCAGTCCCTGTCGGGGCCACTGGTCTCCTCAGCCATGACACCCCCCCAGCAGCCCCCGCCACCCCCGAAGTCAGAGCCTGGGGCCCTGGGCTCCTCAGCTTCCTCATACAGCTCCTTAGGTGAGTGAGCAGGCGGACAGTGATTCTGTGTGGGCAGGTGGGTGGGTGGTGAGCTGGCGTGGGCAGGTCGGTGGGCGGGCGGGCAGACAGTGAGCCGGTGCAGGCGGGCGGGCAGGCAGTGAGCCGGTGTGGGCGGTGAGCTGGTACAGGTGGGTAGGCAGGCAGTGAGCTGGTGCACGTGGGGGGGCAGGCAGGGAGCTGGTGTGGGGGGGTGGGGAGGGAGGGACAGGGCCTGGAGACGCGAGAGGCGCCAGCTGCCTCCCACTGAGGTGAGGACATCCTTCCTGTTTTACAGGTGAGTTTCACAGGTGAGTAAACCAAGGCACAGAGGCTGCCCCCATGCACCACCAGGCGTGGACCTCCATGGTGCAGCCCCCCCATGCAGACCTCGTGGGTGCCAGGGCTCTAAGGCTTTCTGTCAAGCGTAGCCGTGAGCTGTAGTCCGTGTTAGCGTTTTAATCTGGTCGGTTTTCTGGTGTGGCCGGGCCTTCCACAGCAGCGCTGAGGCGGACACGGGGCTCACGGAGAAGCGAGACGGTGCCGCGCTCTTAAGTTGTTAGATGTTAAAAAACGTTTTTTCACATGGTTTATTTTAAACGATTGTTTCTAAATGTCTGTTTTAACTTCTGATGCCGTGGACATTATGTCGGTGGTGAAAGCACTTCAGAGTCCTCGGGGTGCGAGGGGGCCCTGAGACCAAACTGGAGGACTGTTGCCGTGTGTGACGCAGTCCCAGAGACGAAGCCTAATCTCCTTTTTCTTTAAACTCCACAAGCAGCCGGGCTGGGGAAGAGGCCTGGTGAGATCAAGGCGGGCGTCCGTGCAACCTGCCTTGGGGCCCCCACCCACGGCGGGTCCCCGAGACATGGGCGAGCTGAGCCAAAGGGGACCCCGTGTCATCTCCTGTCCCCGTCATCCTCGCAGGCTTAAATGGCGTCCCCGGGAGCATCTGGGACTTCGTTTCCGGCAGCTTCTCCCCCAGTCCCTCCCCCATCCTGGCTGCCGGGTCCACCTCCTCCAGCGGGAGCCCGAGCGGTGCGGAGCTGGCACGTGTCCGGCGGCAGCTCGACGAGGCCAAGCGCAGGATCCGGCAGTGGGAGGAGTCCTGGCAGCAGGTGAAGCAGGTGAGGGGGGGCACAGGGCAGGGGTGGGGGGGACGGCCTCCTGACCCTGCCCCCCTCGTGAGGCTCCCCCATCTGCCCCATTGTCCCCCCTCCCACCCCGTGCGGCCCATCTGCCCCACCGCCCGGCCCCCCACTGTGAGCCCCCATCTGCCTCACCGTCCCCGCACCCCCCGTGCGGCGCCCTCATCTGCCTCACTGCCTGCCCCACCATCCCCATCCCCCCGTGAGCCCCCCCACCTGCCCCCTCATCTGCTCCACCGCCCAGCTCCCCAGCCTCGTCTCCCGTGATTCCAGGCCTGTGATGCGTGGCAGCGGGAGGCCCAGGAGGCGAAGGAGCGGGCGCGGGTGGCTGACAGCGACCGGCAGCTGGCGCTGCAGCGGAAGGAGGAGGTGGAGGCACGGTGCCGGCAGCTGCAGGAGGAGCTGGAGGGCCTGGGGCTGGCGGCCGCGCTGCCCGTGCTGAGGAGCTGTGGCGACCTGGACACGGCGCCCCTGCCCACGCTGCACTCCCTGCAGAGCAGGCTGCGCCTGGGCCTGGAGGCCATCGATGGGGTGAGTCGCGGGGAGCACAGGTGGGTCGCCAGGCTGCGGTGGGATGTCTGAGGCCCCGAGGCCATCCAGTGCTGTGGCTTCCTCCCTTCCGTCCATTCAGCCTCCGCTTGTGTGGCTGGAGGCCCTGAGAGCGCGGCATCAGACGTGCCCCACACGGCCTCTCCCCACGCCGTGTCCTGGGATGGACGTCGCCACCACCTTCCCTCTGAAGGGGTCCCTCCTCCCGCCCACACTGTACCGTCCACAGCACATCTCCCAGGCATGGTTTATGTTGGGGTGTACCGGCTCCCATTCTCGCCTATCCGTTCTTCATCCTTTCAGATAGGCAGGTTGGCTAGGAACACCTATCGCCCCCAATCACCGCCGTATTGGCGCCAGAGCAGGGCCGGTCCCGCTGCCCCGCCCCACTGCGGGCTGCTCTCCAGGCGCTGGGCCGGTGCAGCCCCCGCTGGCACTGAGGCAGGCCGGCTCCTTCCCAGTGTCCAGGAGCCACGGGTCACAGGCCCACTCCCAGCCTGGCTGACGGGTCTGGCCCATCCCCTGGGTGTCCTGCCAACCACCCTGCCCTGCTGGCCTTGGGCTCGGCCTCCCAGGCTCCTGTCAAAGCCTGGCGATGTCCCCCCAACCCTGGTCACTATAGCCAGTGGACAGTTGTCCTCTGGAGGGGTCCTCCGTGGCCTCCCCGTTGCTGGGGGCCCGGGCACAGCCTCTGAGGTCAGGGTTGCGGTACACAGGCAGCGCCACCGTACCAACAGTGCTTCATCCCGCAGGTCATCATCCAGCTGCACGCAAAGCAGTGCCTGGCATGCCGGGAACGGGCCCGTGGCGCCGTCCCACGACCCTGTCCGCACCGCGTCCTCTGCGAGCCGTGTGCCGCCAGCGCGCCTGCCTGCCCCTACTGCAAGGGCCAGCCCGTACAGTGGTGACCCACCTCCTGGAGCCCAACCGACGTCGGAATGCGGCCGTGAGTGCGCCGACGACCCCTGCCGTGACGCCCCTGGGCGTTACTTACACCAGCGGTCTCGTGGTGTTCCCCCAAAACCTTCAGGTGTTCCCGCAGGTGGGCTCACCGTCTGGGGTGTGGCGCGCCTTCCCTCGGCTGCTGAGCGTGCGGTGGGCGCTGCAGTGCCGCCAGGGTTTGCAGTCATCCGACACTGCTGTTGGCCAGATCGCTAGGAGTCTTGAGTCTCGTACAAGCACTTTGTAAACTGAGGAGTTTAGTTAGATGTTAAAAATTGCTATAAGCTGCTTTGTAGATTTATGGTTTTTTTTTCCTTTAAATATGCGATAATACGAAGCTTTCTATGTGTACTGTGAACTTAAGATGTTTCCTATCAGTTGGCTTATTCATGGTATGGTAAATAGGTTAGATTTCATCTTCGGAAACTAGTACTTACCAGATGAGCATCTATCTAGTAGTGAGAAATGCTAGGGTTTTTAGTTTTCAAACTGAGTGCAAGCGGTATTTATAAGCAGAGGACGATTACTGAGGACACGCATACACTTAGGTGTGTGACTTACGGAAGGACTCGTTCTCGTGTGTGTACGCGCACGCCTGCTGGCGTTCTCTGCCCAGCACGTGACCTGGTGTCGCGACAGCTCTCGTGCAGCTACATGAGCCGAGGCCAATCCTTCCAAGTGCCTGTGCCTTGCAAAAGTGAACAAGTCACTGGCTTTGTTTTCTTCCTTGAAAATAAGGCTTAGATCCTGATAGAAGCTCAGGCAGCAGAAGGATCGGGTGCTGGCATTTCAGTTTTCAGAAGCAGCTGTGTCTGAGCACACAGGTCCTCAGACCGGTCACAGGCAGCGGTGCTGTGTAACTACAGGGGGCCACGCTGAGGGTGCGTGGCCACCGTCCCCCAATCTGTGTGCAGCTGTTATGATCACAAGCTTATGTGTGACTGGCAAGGTGTCTGCAGAGAGAGGGCCCAGCCTGCCACCCTGCAGCCGGGAGGAGGGGCTGCCTCAGACTGTCGGCTGAGAGCGTGTGTAGGGGGGGTGACTTGAAATCTTCTCTGGTCTAGATTGGGACGTTTTCCCTAGAAACCTGGAATAAGTGAAAGATGTCTGTGGTTTACCCTGGCTTTCCACGGTTCTCCTGAGAAAACCTCAGAATCTGCCTGGGGTAGTGAGCACAGGTACCAGCCCCCGTGGCCGCCGAGTGACCGCTGACACATCTCTGCCCGCCCCCCGGCTTTGCCAAAGACTTTTAATAGCATTTTTTTTAAAGTGCAAAGTGACTAGGTAAGAATTTTTATCAGTGACCAAATGAGAATGTATTTAATATAGTAAGACGTTTCAAAACCTTTTCTAATGCAACCAAGCCGATAGACGAGTTCCATCGTTTATAAAGGAAGAGGACCCCCAACCTTCTGCAGCTAGCCCACCACTAAAGGTGACACCCGGCCTGGTTTTTAGTGAATCTACTTTGTTTTTAACGATAGTGATGATGATTTATTCGCTTAGTACTTAGAAACGACGTCTATTTTGTGCTACTGTTATCACTGTTTAAAATCCTTTATTTTTATTAATATTTATGCACTTGTTTCTCATTTTAGGCCTGTGGTCTTTGCTGGGATAACAGGACAGTGTTTAATATCTATAGCTAGACATTTTAAATTACAGAACAATTAAGAACAAGTGAGCTTTAGGTCTGTCTATAAGCTACCCTGGTCAGCTGGCTCTGGAATTCGGCCTCAAGAGGGCGCTGTGAGCACTGGGGTGCGAGGGAGACAGACTGCCCGGGCGGGTGTTTGGGGTGCCATCAGGGGCTGCTCCCACCCCACTTCCTGGCTGCGGGTGCTGGTTCTTCTGAGGTCGAAGCCTCTGAGGGATCCCATGACAGGACCCTTGTTATCCTCGTCACCTGTCATCCTGGGTGTTCCACATGGGTGGTAACGTGCCGTCACAGCGTCTAACGCTGGTCGGCTGAGACCCCGAATCTGCCTGGGTGCTTTGTGTGCATTAATTTAGGGAGGCCCTCAATGTGTAGGTTTGAGTACGTAGATGAAAATGTTATTTGAATGGACTCTTCTTAACCTGGAAGGTAGTATTTATAATGCATAATCATTTACCTGTAGTGAACTGTTTAAAATTGTTTGTTAACACTTATTTCAATTTTTTACACTAGAGCATTTTGCGATGGTTTACAGAACCCTGGAGTTATTTTTATCAGTACAGGGATCATTAAAAACCTTAAATCTTTGTTCCGTCTGCGTCACTGAGAACACAAGGTGGGGGGGGGGCTGGTTCCCGGAAGCCGGCTTCTGGCTGTAGTGTTTGCTGCGTGCACCATGGTCCTGACATGGGGTCTTGTCTCCTGGCCAGATCACGGAGTGTTCCTGTGCAGTCCCAGGTCACCATGCAGCTGTGCTGGGGGCCCGCGTGTAGGGGCTGCTTGGCCCAAGCGCTCAGAGCTGGAGGTCCCTGTGGAAACGTGGCTGCAGGTCACAAAGCAGCCCCCACGGCAGTTAGGATGCAGGCGCGGCCCCACCCCTCGCACCTGCCGCCTTTGCGTGGTGGATGCCGTGCTGGGTCAGCAGGGTTTGCAGCCTCTTCACTTCCTTGGACAGCTCCTTGTGTGCCTGATGTTCAAGGGGAGTCAGACACCCGCAGGGCGGCCAGCGTGCCCCCCACCCCTCTGTACCGGGAAGTGGCCCTGGCCCCCTCCACCAGTCCTTACCTGGCTGCAGCTCTCCAGGGTCTCAAACACCTGGCCCCACGAGACCCCTTCCTGCCAGGCAGAGTCGCTGTCCTCCGGGGCCCTCAAGTAGCCAGCCTCCTCAAAGAGCGCCCGCAGCCGCTTTGCATGGCCCTGGAGGCAGAGGAGGTGGCGGGAGTGCCCCGCGCCTGGATGGGGGGCACCGAGGAAGGGGGGTCGCCTGCCTGTGCTCACCTGGGGGGTAATAAGCTCCTCCGCCAGGTCCTGCTCCAGCTGGTCCCACCTCTGCTGCAGGGCCTCGGGCAGCACCGGGTACACTGTGGCCAAGGGCAGTGGCTCAGCTGAGGTCCCTCCCGCCCGTGTCCCCCGACAGTGTGCGCGTGGCCAGTGCACCCCAGCCAGCCTCCGCCTCGCCCCGTTTACTACTCCCAACACCGCGCAGGGGCAGCAGACCCAGCCCGGCCCCGTGTCCCACCTAGCAAGGCGTGGGGGTGGCAGACGAGCGGCGTCTCGAATGTCAGCGAGTACACACAGGTGCTGGGCTCCGACACCTGGGCTAGTCGGTCGCTCTTCCCGCACGTGAGCTCCACCTGGGGGCGGAGGCGTGGCTGGTGGGGGGCTGGGGGTCCTGGCTGCTTGCCCTCGCCCGCGGGGCCTCACCTTAGTCTGCCGGCTCCTGGAGCCACAGGAGTCACCGTCACGCATCCACATGCCCACGAAGCTGGAGTTGGCGATTTCCCACTCGTGCCAAATACTGATGGGGGGGGGCCAGGTGAGTATGAGGGTTGCCCCGGCTGCGGCTCACCTGAGTGCAGGAGCCTCAGGGCCACCCCAACCCCACCCGCAGCTCACCCCAGGATCCCGCTGTAGGCGTTCCAGCGGAAGGTCTGCTCATGCTGGGTGACGTTGTGGAAGGGGCAGAACTCGTACTTGTACCTGGGGGTGCACAGTGTAGTCAGGGGGGTCCCCGTGCCGCCCCACCATCCGCCCCGCGCCGCCCGCCCCACACTCACGTGGACTCCACCAGGCTGAAGCACTTGCCGGAGAGTCTCAGCAGGTGTCCGGGGCCTGCGGGGAGAGGGCGCGGTAAGGCCAGAGACCCAGGACGCATCATGTGGCAGGAGTTCCGAGTGAGGCTGTGCACACCCCCAGGGGCGTGAGCAGGATTAGCAGGTCCCCGATAGCCCAGGGGCCACGTGTGAGAAAGACAAGACAGAGGCCAGCACTGCCCCCGAGTAAAGGTACCCAAGGGCCCATGGGAGGGGGCACTGCCCCAGAACCTAACAGGCGCATTTGAAGACCCGTGGCTTCTGACCAACCTTGATGCAGGCCCCTCAGGGAGCCACTCAGAGCAGGACAGAGGTGGCCTCAGAGAACACTGCGGCCGCGCTCTGGGCAGGGCCTCGCCAGGCAGCCCCCCTGCACCTCACCCCACAGAGGGGTCCAGGAGGCCTCTGTGATTGGGGCGCACGGTTCTGAACCTGGCCGACACTTTTTAAAAAGCTCTTTGCCAGTAGTACTTTTTCTGTTCAAGGTGAAATAAAGGTGTTGAGTGACAGCTCCCCAGACACCCGGCCCCAAGCCCTGCCTCCCATTCAAACCAGAGAACAGAAACTGTCTGGGTGAGCCCCTTGCCCACTTGCTGGGCCCCCCAGGAGTAGAGCGGCAAGTGCCCTCGGCAGCCCTCTGGGTGCTGCCCACAGATATACGCTGCCCCATCCCTCCCACGAGCCCACTGCATGGGGGCCCCACCTCACCTCCAGAGCCTGGGCCAGCACTACGTCTGTGTGGATGGCCCGGACCCGGCCACCCACCCTTTCCCAGCTGATGCCCTGGGCGCCCGCCACCCACCCCTGCACAATGGCCTCTTGTCTTCAATCCCTGCAGCCGTGGGTATGCCCCACCCGTCTTCTGCACACCACAGCCCTGACACAGCGGAGTGTGAAACGGTCCCCCAGACACCCCACACGGGGACCCCTTGCCTCTGCTCCAGTACACACAGGCTGCTCACACTCAGGACAGTGAGCCCACGTGCTCATGCATGTGACAGGACGGGGTGCACACGCAGAGCAGGGTGTCCCTGCTCCTGTGCCATCAGCCCTGGCAGAGGACTGCTTGGGGACACACCTGGGCTGGGGCTCACACATCTGCACACAGCAGACACAGCTGGGGCTCACAGGTCCGCACACAGCAGACACACCTGGGCTGGGGCTCACAGGTCCGCACACAGCAGACACACCTGGGCTGGGGCTCACAGGTCCGCCCACAGCAGACACACCTGGGCTGGGGCTCACAGGTCTGCTCACAGCAGACACACCTTGACAAAAGGAACAGGACAAAGTGCCGTGGCCCGAGGTCAGCCTGGCCCAGCAAAGGGGCTCCAGCCAAGCAATGCAGGCCCAGGGTGGGCTCCCTCCTGCAAGGCATGGTGCTGGGGCCGCTGCTCCCCTCATCCAGCCTCTGCTCACTTCTGGCCCTCACACCTGCTGAGACTAGAGTGGGCCCCACACCCAGCCCTCGACCTGGACGTCAGACACAGTGCAGACGGCCAGCTTCCATGGCTGCCACCAGCGCCATCCCTCCCTCCTCCCACACCTTGACCCACTTGGGAGACAGGCGGCTGCCCTCAGCTCCTGCCTGTATCCCTGGCGATGTTCCTCGGGCCGAGGCCCTGTATTGTTTCTTGATGACATCCCCTTCCCTCCATCCCTTCCTGAAGGGCTGCCTGCTCCCCTCCCCACTCTCCACTGGCTGGTGTGGCCCCCCGCAACTGACTGTGCTCGCCTGGTCCCCAAGCCTATTTCCCACACCTCCTTATCCCGCCAGGCACTCTCGCCAGGGACCATACCCACCGCCCACCCACTGATAAGCCCTGAACCGACGACGCCAGCCTGAATCCCCACCCAGCACCAGCCTCCCGGGGCCAAAACGACATTCATGGCCGCCAACCAACTCAGTTCTGATCCTGGGTGTCTCGAGCCAGCAGCCCTGCAGCCATCTTCCGCCCAAGCAGACGTGGTGCGCCCGCCGCCCAAGCAACCACGCAGCGCGCTTGCCACCCAACAACAGCACAACACACAGCCTTCTCCAGTGCTCCTGGCCTTCCCCAGGTTAGGCCACGTGCTTGGCCACATGCTAGGCCACGTGCTTGGCCACATCCTAGGCCACAAAGCAAGTCTCAGTAAACTCAGAGAGAGGAAAACCACACCAAGTATTTTCTTCAACCACCAAACCAAAAAATCCTGTTGTCGCGGAATAGGTTCTGACTCATGGCAACCTCATGTGCTACAGAGGACAACGGCTCCACAGGGTTGTTTTGGCTGTAAGCTTGAAGGAAGGAGACAGCCTAGGCCCTTCTTCTGTGGAGCTACTAGGTGGGTTTGAACTGCCAATCTTTAGGTTAGTCGTAGAGCACAAACAACTTGGAACACCCAGGGACGTTCTCCAACCACAACGGAATGAAATTAGATACTAACAACAAAACTGTAAAGTACACAAACATGTAGAAATTAAACTCTTAGACAACCAATGAGTCAAGGAAGAAATCCAAAAGAAAACTCAGAAAACGCTTAAGAGTTGAAGGAAAATGGAAGCACAACATATCAAAACTTATGAGATACAACGAAAACAGTGCTCAAAGAGAAATTTATAGCTATAAATCAATAACTTTTCAACTTTAGGAACTAAAAAAAAAGGGCAAACCAAACCCAATGCAACCAGAAAGGAGATAAGAGCAGAGATTAATGAAACTAGAACAGAAAAACAGAATCAATGAAATCAAAAGTTGGTTTTCTTAAAAGATCACTAAAATCAACAAACCTTCAGTTAGACTGACAAAAAGAGAAGATGCAAATATCTAAAATCAGAAACGCAAGTGGGGACATCACAACCAACCCTACAGAAATAAACGGATCACAAGAGAACACTGTGAACAATTTATGCACCAACAAATTAATGTACATTAAAAGGACAGATTTCTAGAAACACACAAGATTCCTACACTGACTCAGGAAGAAAACATAACATCTCAACAAACCGTAACAAGTGAAGAGATCAAATCAGTAATCAAAAATCTCCCTCCCAAAAAAGAAGAGTCCTGGACCAGATGGCTTCACTGGGGAATTCTACCAAACGTTTATAGAAGTGACCCTGATCCTTCTCAAGCTTTTCCAAAAATAGAAGCAGAGGGAACACTTCCCTGACTCATTCTATGAGGTCAGCATTATTCTGATACCAAAACCAGACAAAGAAAACTACAGACCAATATCCCCTATGAATATACACACAAAAATCCTCAACGAAATACTAACAAACCAAACCCAAAAGCATATGAAAAGGATTATACACCAGGATCAAGTGGGATTTATCCCAGGAATGCAAGGGTGGTTCAACATTAGAAAATCAATCAACGTAATACACATTAAGAGAAAAAAAGAAAAGAACCCCATGATCATCTAAGTAGACAAAAGAAGGCATCAGACAAAAAAACACTCAACAAGCTAGGAATAGGGGAAATTCCCCAATATGTTAAAGGGCATTTATGAAAAACCCACAGCTAACATCATATTGAATGGAAAAAAACATCACCGCTGCTGTTCAATATTGTACTGGAAGTTCCAGCCACAGCAATAACAAAAGATAAAAGGTGTCTATATCAGGACAGAAGAAGTACAACTATCCCATTTTGCAGGCGACATGATCCTATGCATAGAAGACCCCGAAGAATCCACAAGAAAACTACAGACCTAATAAATGAACTCAGCGAGGTGGCAGGATGCAAGGTCAACACACAAAAATCAGTCAGGATTTATGCATCAGCAATGAGCACCAGGCAAAGGAAGTTAGGGAAACAATTTCATCTAAGAGAATAAAATACCTAGAAATAAATTAACCAAGACGTAAATTTAAAGACATGCACACTGAAAGCTATAAAGTATCACTGAATGAAATTAAAGAGGATCTAAATAAATGAACCAAGAGGCAGTCATTCAAACAGAACAGGGGATACTGCATGGCTTAAAATCAGGAATGGTGTGCATCAGGGTTGTATCCTTTCACCATACCTGTTCAATCAGTATGCTAAGCAAATAATCCGAGAAGTTAGACTATATGAAGAACGTGGAATCAGGATTGTTGGAAGACTCACTAACAACCTACAATATGCAGGTGACACAACCTTGCTTGCTGAAAGCGAAGAGGACTCGAAGCACTTACTAATGAAGAGCGAAGACTACAGCCTTCAGTATGGATTACACCTCACTATAAAGAAAACAAAAATCCTCACAACTGGACCAATAAGCAACATCGTGATAAACGGAGAAAAGATTGAAGTTGTCAAGGATTTCACTTTACTTGGGTCTACAATCAACACCCATGGAAGCAGCAGTCAAGAAATCAAATGATGTCCTGCACGGGGCAACTCTGCTGCAAAACATCTCTTTCAAGTGTTAAAAAGCAGAGAGATCACTTTGAGAACTAAAGTGCACCTGGCCCAAGCCATGGTGTTTTCAGTCGCCTCACATGCATATGAAAGCTGGACAATGAATAAGGAAGACTACAGAAGAATTGATACCTTTCAATTAGTGTTGGTGAAGAATATTGAAGATACTATGGACTGCCAGAAGAACGATCAAGTCTGTCTTGGAAGAAATACAGCCAGAGTGCTCCTTGCATGCAAGGACGGCGAGACTTCGTCTCACATACTGTGGATGTGTTATCAGGAGGAGTCCCTGGAGGACATCAAGCTTGGTAAGATAAAGGGTCAGCGAAAAAGGGGAAGACCTTCGATGAGACAGACTGACACAGTGGCTGCAACAATGGGGTCAAACATAGTAATGACCGCGAGGATGGTGCTGGAGCAGGCAGTGTTTCGTTCTGTTGTACGTGGGGTTGCTATGAGTCGGAACCGACTGGATGGCACCTAACAGCAACAAATAAACTGAAGAACATTCTGTGTTCATGGACTGAAAGATTTAATGTTGTTAAGATATCAACACTACCTGAAGCCATCTATAGATTCAATGCGATACCCACTGTCACGGATTGAACTACGCCCCCCAAAAAATGTG